TGTTTTTGTATTGCTGCCATCAAATCTTCTAAGCTGTAGTTTGATTTTCCGCCTCTCGTTTCCATCTTCTTCTCTTCTTCTATCCCACTCTCTGATACCAATTTGTTACGTCTCCGTTTGTTAATTAATTTTCCGTAAATTCGTTCCGACGAAACTTTAGCGACACAAGTCCTTACTTGATAAAACTGGTTTATTCTTTCCGAATATAACTACACTTATTTTCAACAGTCGCGCTATAATTCTCAACGAACTTCTTACGTGCTTAACAATATTCTCTCTGACTGCAGTTCAATTACTCACTACCTACACACATTGTTATCCCGTCACGTTGTGAGCGTCCTATATATATACCAGACTAACATATATCTAGTAAATGCTAGGGCATTCACGAAGGAACAGGATATTTCTAGAAACGTGGAGTGACACTAGTCACGTAACCTCTCTGACGCAACAATATAATAAGCGGTGACAAAATGAGCAGAGTAAAGGTAAAGTCAAATGAAAGGAAAGTTCAGTCAGATAAAAGGTAAAAAACGTGAAGTTAGCTGTAGTGAATAGCCTTAACGGTTGATATGTTAAAGTGAGTTTAACAGTTTGATAGAGATAAGGAGAATAATTTGCCTTGTCAAAGGGTGTTCTAAACTTATTGAACCCGCCTGTGTGGACTTTGACGGAAAAAAAAACGATTATTTGAAGTTCAGGAAACAACTGTGGTAACTCACGAGGTAGTGGAAGTGAATTATTCACTGATACTATCGTGTTAAAAGTAGAGAAAAATAGTTTGGTTTGTCAACTGGATTCTACAGTAATTGAATCAGTCTAAGTGGACTTTTGATAAGAAGAAGAAAGGAACTTGATAGAGTTTAAGATACAATTGTGATCTCCATAGTGTAAAGAAATTTTGTACATACGTTTATCTTGTTTATCATTATTTTAAAACAAGTGGAATGTGTGCTGTCCGTTTATTGTTTGAATTTATCGCCAACAAGTCACAGACACCTACTGCAGAAGAACCCATAACACCCACACATATACATATACTTAAACGTTCTGACACTTACTACAGAACCTTTTTCATTGGAAAGTAATTTGTAGGACTATTTTCAAGGTGTTAGGTCATCAGATAGAACATGACTGGACATCACAACTTGGACTGAAACAATGTGGTGGGGCTCCACAATCATTGTAATATAATGTACTCAACCTCTTTACACCATAAAGTTTAATGGATAAACTTTATTATAAATCTCACTAGTATTTCAAAGTAACTCATCCAGATCCTTGGGCAAAGAAAATGGGAATTTTATGGATGAACGCTTTTAGAAATGTAATTGTTTTAGCATTATTTAATTTCTATAAATTTCATTCAAAAATAGAAACTTCAGGTATTTAAGCATCAATTATGTTTTAAGTTGCACTTTTATCAGCTTGGGTGAACTGCTCTTTCATTTTTCATTTCCCATTCTGGAAAGTATATATATATATATATCTATGCAACTAAGCATGGTAGTGCTTAGTATGTATGGATGGGCCAGGAAAATAATGGCCGCCACATTAAATCTATTACTCTACAATGGTTACAAATAACTGCTGAATTTGAGTTAGTCTTATTTGAGCAACTAATTACTATTATCGAGTGTTCTACAGCTTGTATAACAGTAATATTATTATTTTCTTCTACCACATGTATTAGTGTGGGGAAATGATAAAAATGAAAACTACTACTTAGCAGTGAGCTCAGTTTATTAGTTTTTTATCAGTTTTATTTCTGGTCGCTAGATGGCAGCACAAATTATTCTTATATAACGACTTTTTGTGACTTGATACCTGCCAAAACGATTTCACTAAAACGAAAGAAAAAAAACACATTCTAAGTTAATATTGAAGTTATCAAAGAAATCAAGTCTTTGTGCAACTGATAGATCTGTGTACATGTTATTGATATTTGAGTTTAAAAACACCACTTTGTTAATTATCAAAACAATACATTATATAGTGGTTTACTTTTCTTACAATTTTCATTGAGGCCAAGTGTGATACCTGTGTATGCATTTGTGATATCATACTTCATGACCTTGGATCTATATGATGTTCTCTCTATTAATCAACATGACCCTAGCATGTGATGGAGTCGATTGTATGCACACACAGTGAGTTGGGGTGACGTTGGAAGGTGTGGGCTCTGTAAATATCCCCTTAACATCAGGGTACTTGTACTGTCTTGAGGGGAATTCCAGCTTCACTGGCCCTCAATGCAATCTAAAATTAGAAAATCTGACAAAACTGATATGATATTAACAATATATATTACCATTGAATTACAAAAATACAATGTTCATTCTCTTATTAACCTACTTCAATGAAATTGTTTAAAAAAAGAGGGGAAATAAGTAACAAATAAAATGTGCAAAAATTAAGTATGATGTAGGGATGGAAATGTGAAAAAGTATAGAAACAAGATAAGGATGAATAAAGAAAATCATACAAAAATCCCTACATTAGTAGCCAGTAAGTACTGAGTCAACCTTACAAGCTTATAATCATTAGCTACTGTAAAACTGTACAGCACTATTCAGGTTAAATGTTTTTATTCAAACCTGAATTCATGCAACTGACAGGAATTCAACATTTAGTTGCAGACAAAAGTTATTCTTGGAAAGATTTGGCTACTTCTATAGTGATTTTTGTATGGTTTTGTGAAGTTCACTAATCTCAGGTAACAGGAAGCTTAACAGAAAATGTCATGCAGATTGAAAATGAATTCTATTGGTTTTGTCTGAGTTTTGAGTAAGAAAGAGATTAGATAGAGTGTGAAACAATATAGTATTATATATGTTATGCAGATATCCCAAAGAGTAACCAGTTATGGCCCATTAGCTGGAGGTTTGAAGGATACAAAATTACGAAGTATACATCTGATTATCTTTCTAAATTCTGACAGAGTTCGTCGAGAAGAAAGGATCGAAACAAGGAAGATGCACAACAATTTTTTACTAACACACACACACACATACAGTTATTAACATCAGATCCTAAAACAAAACAGAAGTAAGTGTGTCTGGGATGAATGTGTTGAACTGGTGAAAGAGAGAAGAGAAGGGTAACTTTATTGAGCTCTTTCTCACCAGTCCAGAGTCTGCCTTCTCGCAAGGTAGAACAAAACATAAAATCTAAAGTAGAAACAAACTTAAAGTTAAAGTATAAAACAAAACCAAATCTCACACTAATAGTTCAAAAGAAATACTTATAATAACTCTAAAGGTACAATATAAGTTAAGTTATGTAACATACATTATACACAAACTTCATCTCAAAAATTTGAACTAAAATTTCAGCAAAAATCTCAAAGTCTGCTAAAAGTTTGAATAAAGACAAATTTACTAAACAAATGAGAACCTTTTTTAACTACAAAACACAACAATATCATGCAAATAAAGGTTGCATATTTCACTCCTCACCTGTCTGACCTTTGTCCGCTGTGACTCAAGTGCAAAGGCGAAAGAACCTTCGACCATCACCCAATTCGCTGACAGAAAAGACAGAGTTCTATTTTGGGAAATCATAAGCTCTCTTTCATGTAAGAAAATGTGATTAATTGCCAAATAAGTCCCATTCAGAGTTAGAATAAAAAAACAATTATATGTGTTTAATTGATTAACTTTTTGTGCTCAAACTGAACTGAAACAAAATACAAAAATTTCGAAAAATGTATATAATACCTAAGGGAGTAGAAAACATATGGTATCATCCTGTACCCCAATAGTGTGAAATCAATCATCATTCAGTACATAAAACCAATGCAAATGACGAGTTTATAATGAAGGACGGCAAAGGTACTGGAGGTTGAAAGTTCTCAGAAGAAACTTTGAAAGAAAATTTGTCCCAGAATGAGAAAACACAACATTTTATACACAGTTATAAAATGCTATTCTTCTCAAGTCACATGCTCTACCTAGATAACTGTTGGCCATTCCCGCCAATGGGAAGAATTGCTGGCACTTTTTCCTATAGAAAGGTGCACGTGATACTATGGGTGAATCACCTGGAACAGTAGATAACTAGAGTGAATGCGTGTGTTTTGTTATAGCAAAGCCACATTGGGCTATCTGCTGTGCCCACCAAAGAGAATCGAAACCCTGATCTTTGCATTATAACCCTGAAGATTTACCTCTGTCCCTCCAGAGGACAACTAGAATGAAGTGAACTTAATACGCACTTCATTGACTCATGTTATACTCTTAAAGCTACATACACTTGTATGTACGAACATTTTAGGTGAACTCTAGAGTTAAAGAAAGGAGTAGAAAATACTTAGTATGTCTCCATACATGCATAAGCAAATTCCAGTTATAAGGCATTATAATTATAAGCATATAATTCGACGATGTAAAGATGTCATGAGTGTAAATTTTAAACAAATATTAGAAATGAAAAATTATAACAAAATAATGTATCCCTTGGTGGCTCAAAATTTAAGTAACTATAGAGGCTTATGACGTTAAAATCGAGTTTTGACACTGTTATGTATCTGCTTGTTTGTTAATTTCCGGTATAAATTCTTTCCAAGGAACTTCAGCGATACAAGTCCTTTCTTGATTAAACCAGTTTATTATTTCTCGATACAAACTTTTAGTAT